TAAAATAATAAAACAAAATAAAAATATAAAATATTTAAAATAGTCCAGTTTGCTCAACCTAAAATAGGTCAATAATATCTATCTCATATGTTGTAGGAATTACAGGAAATAACGTGAAGGAAGACCATAAACTACTTAACATAATACAATGCCTGTTAAGAGTTGTAACCCCTGAACTTACTTCATGAAGTCTTTCTTAGACTACTCTGGGTTAGTCTTTCTACCATCTGCCCAATTGCAGCTATATCGCTTCCAACTAGATTTTTTGTTTCTTTTTAAGTTTTAACAGGAACTGTCTTGCATACTTTTCTAAAGGGAACGGGATAGAGTAGAGGTTAAGTTAGGATTCCAGGGCTCATATCTTAGAGCTGGTGCTTGAGAAAGAGAGAAGAATCAAAAGTGACAGGCCATGAACAGGTGGTCCAGGTGTGTTTACACTTCTCTCTTTCTTTCCTTCCCCAGATGTCAGGTGGTGTGTGGTCCATGGGAGAAGTCTCCCTGCAGACACAGATGGTTGGGTTCACCTCCAGTTTCATGCTGGACAAGCCTGGGTTCCCGAAAAGCAGGGAGGGAGAGTGAGTGCACTCTTCCTGCTTCCTGCCTGCAGTTTTCCACCCCCACATCTTGAAGACAACATGTTGTGTCCCACGTGCGTTCACAGGTAATTATGCTTTTCTATAAACTAAAAGTGGCACTTGATTTATAGTTGGAGAAAGGGAAGATACACGCTAATCTTCATTAGCCATGTATTTCAAACATAAGTTGTCAGTAATGAGTTTCAAGAAAATTATTACTTCAGTAAGTTTATCCCCAGGAAAAAGCATTTATGTGTCAGGGTTTAATGCTTCTACTTGGAGACACAGAATTCTGGAGCAACATACATTGTGTAGTTACTATATGCAAGTTGTATGCATTACACAGAAATAATGACTAGTAAAAAAAAAAAAAAACCTTTCTTTAAATAGCCAATAGTCTAATGGGGATGACTGATTTATAAACAGCTAGAATACCATATGATATCAAAGAAGAGGTTTCTTAAGGGAAGAATTGACTAGATGGAAACGAGGAGTAAGATTATTTTTCAGCATAAAGAACAGCACCAAGGCTATGAAAGAACTTACAACAAAATAGAAGTTGCAAGTTGTTCAGTGTGACTACAATGTGGCAGTATATAGGATGGAAGATAAGCTTCAGTTTTGTCATTTATAAAATAGGCAGAATAATACTGATGTGAAGCTATCGTGGAAATTAAATGAGTTGATGTAGACAAAGTTCTTAGCACTGTGTCTTACCCCTAGCAAATATTCAAAAAAAATTGAGGTAATTATTCTAGCAAATAGAATTAGTTTGAGCAAATCATGAGATGGAAGTATACAATGTATACAAAAATTTTTGACTCAAATTGAGTATTATTATAGAACTGTCATTAGTTTGACAGCAAATTGCAGTAAGCTTTGAATGTTGGAAGTTTAGAGATTACCCAGTAGCCAATGGTGTTCTTTTGAAAGCTTTTGTTAGTTATATGATGTGATCAGTGGAGTATCTTTGCAATCACTCAACAACCAACTTTAGAAGCACAATTATGAAGGAATGGACAGAATGGTACAAAAAGGCTTTTCTCTATAACTGAAGTTCCAAGCCGAACTGAAATCAACACATTAAAGAAAATGATTTGACGTATGAGGAATGGACCTAGGGTGGGGGTAGAGGGCCAATCAATTTGCTGTTCTCTTCTGCATAAACTATACTAGCTAATGGATTGTGATTTCTATTTCTAAACAAAGATGGGAAATATTTTTATTAAAACATGCCTTCAAAATTGTCAGATCTGGGAGAGGTTTGAGAAGAACACCATTATGAGGCGACATTGGACTAAGGATGAACAGTCCTAGGTCACAGTTCTGTTTCAATAACTTTACACATGCCCCTTAACTTTTCTGGGCCTCAGTTTCCACATCTCTAATATGAATACCAAATTGGACCAGCAAGTGTACAAAGGTTAAATAAATATAGTTTTAAAATTAAAAAGTTGCCAGAAATTTTATATGCCTGTATAGGGAGGTTATTTTTAGAGAGAACTCATTGAGGAATCTTATGTGCGGTTTACAGACAGATGCACATACGCAAAATTTTGAAGCATTTTCCAGGATCAGGGAGAGGGACAAGTAGTTTGAAGTCAGGCAGCTCTTTATCGCTGGGTAATGAGCCATTGAAGGGGACTTTAAGCAATTAAATGGATTGAGGTGTGTACTGCAGAGAAGGGGTGAAGGGTATAAAATCAATTAGAGGCCTATCAGAATGGCTTATGTCTGGAATCCCAGCACTTTGGGAGGCTGAGGTGGGAGGATCAATTTCAGGCCAGGAGTTAAGAGACCAGCCTGGACAACACAGCAAGACCCTGTCTCTACACAAAAAATTTTAAAAATTAGCTGGGCTTGGTAGCTTGTGCTTGTAGTCCTAACTACTCAGGAGGCTGAGACAGAGGATCATCTGAGCCCAGGATTCGAGGTTACAATGAGCTGTGATCACACCACTGCACTCCAGCCTGGGCGACAGAGAAACCCTGTCTCTTAAAAAAAAAAAGAAAAAAAGTTAATTAGAAAAATCTTGTGGGAGAATCCGGGTTTTTGTACATTTAAAGTGCCTGGCACCTTCTGTAGGTGCTAGAAGAGAAATCTGGCATTTAGGTAATTATTCGGTGGTTACTTAAACATCAATAAGGATAGTGGGATTTTCATCGGTACTGAGGACAGAACTTTAAAGAACAGCAATATTTTAGGATCAAGTTAAAGGAGACAGAAGAGAAACAGCTAAAAAGAAAAGCTGGAATATGAAGTCAGTAAGGAGAATTTGTGTGGGGATATTGCTTTAAGTAGTATCAAATAAAGCCAAAGAAGATACGAATAATATTCTTAGATAATATAAGAGATTCAAAGCAGGAAAGGATGCAGATAATTTGATGTTGGTTGAGTAAGGAGGGGAGAAGTGGAGTATGCAATTGGAGGTATTTTCCGAAAGTGCAAATGGAAAACTAGAACAATGGGATGCTTAAAGTATTTTTTTAATTGGTTTTATCACAGAGGGTGAGCCTAAGTATACTTCTGGGCTTAGCTTGGGGAAGGCACCCATGGAGAGGGAGGATGGGAAGAAGAATTCCTTTGAAAAGGGGGACATGGTGCAGCTCAGGCCTGGCTCCCAGCGGTCCCTATCCCCACCCTTCAGTTGCATAGAAACCATCTTGGGTTTCATCCCAGGGTCTCTGTTGGCCCACCTTTGGTTTCAGGATTACAGAATACCAGAGGTCTAGGAAACCGGAATACGTTCTGTCCAGTCTAGACTTTCCCTCCGCTTGCTCACTGAGGGAGAGGCAGCCCCTTGGGCCCTGGCACAGTTACCATCTCCCACAGGAAAAAGTGTGAATGTGTGTTTGTCTTTTCCTTCTTTGGGCTGTCCTGCTACAATTCTCTTGACAGTCCCTATGTCAGGCATGTTGAATAGAAGTGAGGTCACTTAGGATAACCCTTTAATGACATACTTGAGCCTCTGGGCAAATGATGAAAACATCCCCTCTGGGGCATGACCTGCACAGGTCAGGAATGTATTAGAGACGTGATAACTTGGCTGATATTCATTCCTTAAGGACATGGTCAAGGGCTTCCCATGCATGATTCTAGTTTCAAGGGCAATTTTATTAGCTTTCCAGCAGGGGGTGTCATGGCTATTTTCAAGGGTGGAACTTGATATTTCTTCTTGAATTCCTGTCTTTTTAAAAACAACATATTTTATTTCCTTTTTAGGAACAAGGTCTTAGTAAAAAGTCTCCAGTGGGAGTAGAATACCAGGAAAAAGGACACATCTGTGATTGTAAATTAATGGCAGAAAGCTTGACAGTTGATTCCATGGTGCCCTGACGGCTGAACTATGGTCCTCTCCACACCTGCTCACAGGCCATGCGGACTGGTCGGGTGAGATGTTACCCTCAGACCCCTAGCAGTATCTGCTGCTCTGTGGGTTGGAATACAGAGACACTTCACAAATTGCCTTTAATTCCAGTTAGCCAGAAGAGAAGTCATTCATATTATAAGATGTTTAGCCTTCTAAAATAGCAGTGACTTTAGTAGCTCTTAAATTATTCAACTGAGCATTGTGAAGGAGTTGAGTGAAGAAGCAGTACTAAGTATTTTAAAGCAAATACAGACTGCTAATTCTCTCCTTCATTTACAAAACATTTTTCAAAGTTTTCTTAATAACCTGGGACTTTTACTAAAGGCTAAAAACACAAGGCACTTTGTTAGTATTGTTTCCACTTATGATTGTTTTATTTTTGCTGCCTAAAATGTTTAAGGTTGCTTCCTAGTCATAAATACATAATAAATGTGAATATAATATGAATATAAAATATCTTATTGTGTTAGGGGACCATATTTATTGCATGCAAATTATTGTTAAAGTTCTTAATGCAAAGTAGGATTAGAACGAAAAGCATGATTTTCTCTTTCATGATTCATTTGTTTTTAAAACCACTTTATTGAGGTATGATTGACACACAAAAAGCGTTCCTTGTAGAAATAAGCAAAAAAAAATAAAGCTGCCTATATTTAATGTATCCAACTGAGTTTGATTAGTTTTTAATTTTTTGTGTACTTTCTAATTTACAATCTGAGTTCTGGAAAAGATCTGCTGTTTTTCACTTGTCTTATGTTTTAATAGCATTTTTCAATACTGTTTTATTAGTAAGATAATACTGTTTTATTAGTAAGAGCTGGGAATTTTTCCCCTCCAATGAAGATATCAAAGGTAACACTGGAAGGAGTGGCGGAGTTGGAAAACTTGTAACCATCATGATGTTGATTTAATAGGTTTGGGCAAGAATCCTCAAATGTTAAAGCAAGAGAAGAAAGTTTGGGAAGCAGGATGTTTTTACAGTTTGACATTGTTGTTCCCCCCAACCCTCACTGGTTGTTAGTAGTCAGAATTTTTCATTGTAATAAATAATACACACATTTTATACCTTCTTGTATGTGTATTATTTTAATTTTGTTTCCTTTTTTACCATTTTCCCTATTTTCATTGGATTGGTCATGTTTCGATTCTATTTCCTTCTTTTCTTCCTTTGATTTGATTTGCTTTTTTTGTTTTTTGAGATAGTGTCTGGCTCTGTTGCCCAGGCTGGAGTTCAGTGTCATCACCATAGCTTACTGCAGCCTAGAACTCCCGGACAAGCGAGTCCTCCTGCCTCAGCCTCCCAAATAGCTGAAACTATAAGTGCGCACCACCATGCCTAGCTAACGTTTTCTATTTTTGGTAGAGATGGGGTCTTGCTCCGGATGGTCTCAAACTCCTGACCTCAAGCAATCCTCCCACCTTGGCCTCCCAGAGTGGTAGGATTACAGGCGATAGCCACTGTGCCCAGTCTCTTCCTTTCTTAATTTGGGAATTTTACTTTGCTTTCTGATTCTGCTTATAGATAGTTCCCTGTTTCTAATACAATTAAATAAACTTAAATTTCTCTCTATACACAATAAATTAATGACTTAGCTCATTTCTCCATCAGCCGGGAAGGACGTGTTGACATATCAGTATATCAAGGATAGTAACTACCATGGCTTCCAATGCTTTGATGAAACTTCA